CAGGAAAATAAGAAGCCTCCCAGCCAGTGCTGGACATGGCACTTTATTTGGAAACCTGCCTCTCCCAGCTTAATGTATACTTCTTTGTTCTGAGTGTGCATCATTTGGCACCTGGCCAACCCTACTACTATATCTACTCCCAGAAGTGAAAAACAGGGTTCTCTGCCTACAGCACAGGAAGGCAGTGTGCAGACCATCCCCCAAGCCTGCTGTATACATCAAAAGACACGAAGAAGAGAGTGGAAAGACTCTCTTTCCACAGGATGGGTGAACATATTTGCAAATTATAGCTCTGATGAGGGCAGTCTAGCATCCTGAATGTATCTAGAACTCTTTCAATTCAGTAACAAGAGATAATCCAATTCAAAACGAACAAAAGGACTTGAGCAGATGGTTTTTTTTTTTTTAAGATTTATTTCTTTATGCATACAGAACTATGGTGCAGGCCAGAGGTGCAGGGACAGTGAGAGGATTCACCGGAGACATAGTGGGGAGCAGAACAGGCAGGTCGATGAAGTACACTGCTGAGGGGAGCAGCGGGTGAGACAGGAAAGGTCTGCTATGCCCTGTGGGTCACCTCTGGGCTGGGGATTGAACCGGCACTGAAGCAGCTCTGGCAGGCTTGCAGTGCTGTGCTTTACCCCACTGCACCACCAGGGAGGGCCTGAGCAGATATTTCTTCTAAGAAGATATACAAGTGGACAAGCACATGAAAAGACACTCATTGTCCTTGGCCATTAGGGAAATGTACACTAACACCACAGTGAGGTGCCCCTTCCTACCCTCTAGGATAGCTATGATGGCTAGAAATGGGTCTCTCCCTGCCCCCCAGCCCAAGGTCCCAGAAGTGGTGAACATGACCCTACTGGGAAATAAGAGTCCTTGTGGATTTAATCAAATTAGGAGGCGTTCATAATCTATTATGACTGTTGTACTCACAAGAAGAGGGAAATTTGGACCAAGACACAGAGAGAAATGTGAAGATGGAGGCAGAGGTTGGCTTGTGGTAGCAAAAGCCGAGGAACCATTGGGATTATCAGAACTAGAAGAAACAAGGGCGCACCCTCCTCTAGAGGCTTTGGTGGCAGCAAGGCCCCACAAGCATCTTGATTTCATTCAGTTTTAGCTTCCAGAACAACACATTTGTTATAAGCTACGCAGCAAGTGGTACTTCCTTATCAAGCCCTAGATCACTAACATAACTTTAAAAAATGGAAAACAGCAAGTGTTGGCTAGGGCGATGGTTGGTTTTATATGTCAACTTGGCTGGGTCACAGTGTCCAGATACTTGGTCAGACATTCTGGATGTTTCTGTGAAGGAATTTTTTTTGATGAAATTAACATTTAAAGCCATCGACTTTTCAGTAAATCAGGATAACACTCCATAATGTGGGTGGGTCCTATCCATTCAGTTGAAGGTCTTAACAAAGACTTAGATCCTCCCTGAACAAGGAATTCTGCCAGCTAACTGCCTTTGGACTTGAACTGAAACTCATCCCTAGGTCTCCAGCTACTGGTCTGGAGCAGATTTTGAAACTACCAAATCTACACTTTTGAGTCCATTCTTCAAACCACCCTCACCTATCTGTCAGTCAGCTTAGCTAGCTAGCTAGCTAGCTGCCTGGCCTCCCTTCACCTATCCATGTATCTACAGAGAATTTAGATATGAAATTCTCTTGTATGTAGAAATACAGCTCTCTCCATAGATCTATTGTTATGTATATATAATGTAATATATATGTTTAAGCACCCTTTTGTGTTCTCTAAAGAACCCTCCAACTGTGAGAATATGAAAAAACTGGAACCCTTAGACACTGCTGGTGGAAATGTAAAATGGTGTCGCCAGTGCACTATTGCTTGTGTCTCAATTACACAGAAATTACTGACTCAGCAATTCCACACCCAGGCATAGATTTAGAAGGATTAAGTGTAGGTCGTCAAACTAAAACTTGTACAAGAATGTTGACAGCCGTCATTATTGACAAGAGGCGGAAGGAGAAACAACCCAAATGTTCATCAACTGATGAATAAACAAAGGTGGTGAATGTACTAACGGGCAATGAATTGTACACATCTCAAATGCCCAAAATGTTCCATTGAGGCCACATATATTATGCCACAATAAAAAAGCTTGCATTTAAGAACACACAGGAGAACTGATGAACTTGCTAGTAAGGCGGTGGGGTGATGAAAAGGGAAGAGAGCATGGTGGTGATGGGGCATTAGCTTGGCAAGAGTTTACTTCTTTCTCACCCAGGTTCCTTCAACACTCCAGTGGCTTATCCTCTCCTCCAACATTCCATCTTTGCCCCCCATCACCAGCCATCCAAAGAGGTGATGCCATCCCCAGCTCTTTGCTCTTTCCTCAGTTCTGAGTAGGAAGTTCAGCTCCTTAAGAAGATACCTCATCCTTAAGAAGATACCTCTGAGATGACCCCATGCTGGTCTCTTGCATGGAGGCAACTTCTGGCCCCTAGGAGGAGACCTGCAGCCTGTCCACTGGAAAAATGTTCCAGGAGGCTGCACTCAACACAACTCTTCCCCATGCTCTGTCATCAAAGCACCTTCAGATATTTCCAGGCAGGGGTCCATGGGATTGCCACCCACAGAGGACACACACTGAACTCAAGTCCTTTTCCCCATCCTTGAGATAAAGGGTAAGCAGCATCTACTGTTCTCCATTGTGAGCTGTCCAGATACAGCAGTACTCTCTTCAAAGACATTCCCCACCCAAAATCCTCTTCCTTCAGTGTGGCTGAGGTTTCAAGGGGTGCAGGTTTCTGACCGCCACATCAATCCAGCACATGGTACAGATAGGCAGTCTCTAATGGTGCCTTCCAAACACTGCCTACACTAACATCGATGCATGTGCATTTAAGTACCTACATTCAACTGCCATTGAGCCCGGGCTTGTCACAGCCATCACACTCGGCCCTTTTAACATCTATTTAAAGTTATTTATAACTACTTTGATTTACTGATTTCCTAAGAACCCCTAGATAACTGGCACTTAGGAAGGGAATCTATAGAATGCAATACACAGGTAGTGTGTTTACTAAGATCCTCAGTAGGAAGAAACATTCTGAAAGTCTAGCTATACAACTTTTGATCTGGGAAGGACGTCAGAAGCTTTCTAGAAAATCAGCCTCCCTCAGCCTTTAAGCAGCAGCAGGTCTCAAAAGGCTGAGGGACTTGCCCAAGGTCGCTACAGTGAGAACAGAAGGTGTCGTTATCACTTGCTATACTATCTTTTGTTTGCTTAACAAATAAAGGCCCACAAATCCTGATTCATCCTACTGCTAATTTTAATTATCAGGCCAGTAGTAAAAATCACTTTTTAATGCAAAAGAACAAGAGTCTAAAAATTGAATGAACTGGGCTTTCCAAACGACATAAAGCTGTTTGAATTCCAATCTCTTGTACAGGAAAATAATGGATTCTTAAGTGAATCTGTGCCTCAGACTGGAAGAATGATTTTTAAATGGAAAATCCCAGGGAGGTGGTGATGAGAAATGAGCTTAGCCAGATGATCCTGAGAGAAAGTAATGGCAGCAAATCAGGCAGGAAAAGAGCTTTTTCTTAAAGGTCACAAATAAAGCAAATGTGGATTATGCCCAGATAGGTTTATCCCATCTTTCTAGTCTTGGGACTGTCTCTTGTGTCCTGATGCTTTATAGACAACCACCTCCAGGGTTTCAGAGAGGATCTTTTTTAGAAAAAAAGCTGTGTAAAGTATAATGGTAGTATCATTAATCTAACAAACATTGACATTTTGTCCAGCATTCTCAGAACTCAGACCTGCATTCTTCTCAAACAACACAACAGTCATAAGCTTTTAGAAATAGCAGGAACAGTAGAAATAATTTAGTGCAATACCATGCATTTCAAAGGTAAGAAAACCAGGGCCCAGAGAGGGAAGTACCTTGCCCAGGAAGGTCACACAGAATGTTCATGGCTCTAGTCACAAAACTTAAGCCTTCTGACAGATTCATGAACTCTGTGGTAGTTCCATCTTCCATTTTGAAGACCTCAGAGTCGCATTTTGTAGCCTGAAGTGCTAATTAAACCAGAGGAATTATGGACTATTTATAAGTAGGAGGGACATTAACAAGGCCGTGAAAGCTGGGGACACATAAGGAGAGCTTGTCTCTTGAGATTCATGTGCCACGCTCAACCTCTAGGTTATAAGATAGGACGGAGATTAATCATGAACAGTCTCAACCTTTCTAACAGTGGACTTCATTCAACCCGTGCTGCAGTTCACCTTGAAGGACCCGTTACCGTAGTTTCTGCATCATGAGCTAGACAGGTGACCACTTCTCTGAACAAGTGCTGCCCTCGCCCAGAGGGCAAGTTAGAACCATCCTTCCAAACACAATCGATTGCTTCAAAGGGCCGCTTTCAAACTATTTTTCCATTAATTTGAGTCCTAACTTAAAATAATCACCACGCTTTCACTGAATTTAAAAGTGAAAAATAAAGGGTAGAGGAAATCTGCAAAGATGTTTTAAAAGACATACCAGTTGGGTTTGCAACTACGCACACTTTCTTTTTTACCATGCAGCCTGGCTTTCACCATCTTGCCAAAATCAAGTATGTCTCAGGAGGCTCATGGTATGAACAGAAATGCTGAACTAAAAGTTAATTTCCAAGTTTTAATCTGTCAGAGACTGTGTGGTTCTGCGAAAAGAGGCATTTAACCTCTCCATTCAGTTCCTTCCTCTAGACAATGAGGCTAAAACTGGAGGTACCTCACCGAGTATTACGGAACTGGCTAATTAAGGCTAATAACTAAGGCCCTGGAAAGAATCAGAGAAGACTATGTAAGTGCTGAGCATTTATGGACCACTAAGAGTCACAGACACTCCCAAAGGACATGGATTCTGTGCAGACAGCACAATCCCTTTTGGTGATTACTACCTCCTTACAAAGGAGGTATTGGGTGTTGAGTAGCAGGACCGGAAAAAGGAACAGCGCACAATGTCGTTCAACAACACCATCTTTATTCAAAAATATATATCTATGAGACATTTCAGAATATACTGCTGCCGCCAACGACAGCCTATACTTCTAAATAAAGTCCTAAATTAATATACAAATTTAAGCTTTAAAAATATTCTTTAAAAAAAAAAAAGAAAAGAAAAACAACAAAACAAAGGAAGATTGAGGAAGCTTTGAGGAATAAGACCTAAAAAGGAAAGGTCCTTTGAGGCCCATGGATGCCCTAGAAGAAAAACACAAAACAAAACCACCCACCACCCCCACCCCCCAGATCACTTCATACATCCAAGGAGAAAGGTTCATTTAAATTAAACAAACGAAGTAAGCACACGTGGGGAGGGTGTGGAAAGAATTAAGAATTAAAAAACAAAAGCATTTCATTAAAAAACTATAAAACAAAACTAACTTCCTCACAGGAAGTCCACTAGTAACAGGTGTTAAGAGGCCAACACATTCATTTACATAATTGCTGCAGATTCATCTCCTGTTCTTGCTGTAATAATTATGCACCAAATCCTTATTCAGACTCAATCAGATAGAACATAACAGTGGGCAAAATCCATTGTGTCGTAACATTTTCATTGAGCTGATCAAAGATCTACTCCACCCTTCTGGTTGCTTTGTGGCTAGCAGGACCCCGCTTCCTGGGTGAAAGCACAGAAGCCCAAGGTGGGGGGCTGTTCAGAAACAAGCCCCGACCAGGCCCAGAGCAGCACACCGCACGGGGAGGGGCTGTGCGCCGAGACAGCAAAGACGGGGATTGATCTCGCAGTTTCAGCAAAGCCACCTACTGCCCTCTGGCCTCTGGAAGCGAAACTTTATATACTCATTAATTTAATAATGACAGAACAGGCAGTGTCAATAAGCAAACAACATACAGTCTGAATTCAAATCTGAAAAATAGCTCAAATGCTACTGGGTTCTACAGAGTTACGCGGAACACCTGCTAAGCCTTTTCGTTGCTCTCACTTTATGGCAGGCAGCAGAGCTTCTTAAAGGGAAGCCTGTTATATTTTAAAAACAGATTAAGTTTTAACATGTTTAACATGTAAAATTACATGTAATTGGCTTTTTGGTAATCCTGAAAATAACCACTCAAAATAATGGAGTTTCTGAAGCCCCCTTCACTGAATTCCCTTTTTATAGCTTTTGGATTTCAGCCTCTGGGCTACAATTCCTATTACACTATTGGGGCAAATTGTTTTCTGCCCTTTCCAATGTCAAAAATAAGCCTGCAAAATAGAATGATTGACAGTTAGCAGGCCTAACTTTTTCTAAAAGCAAGGTAAAAATCCTCTCTAACTACATTATATAGTCATGATGTCAGCTGGCATGATAGTGAAATTTAAAACCCAAAATTAATATTCCCGACTTCCCCCTCCCTTGCCCAAGGTGAGCCGTCCATAACATCTGACCAAAGCTCTCCTCCTCTGGGCACAAGGACATGAGCAGTGGCGTGAGCTAACGGACAGACAAACATGCACAAAGTGTCATTTGCAAAGGAGATATTCAAGTTTAGTCACCATACTGTGGACCTGCGCCACACAGTGAAGTAAATGTTAGTGCACCCTACTCCCCGAAAGAAGGGGTCAAAGCAACACCCACGGGAAGCCGATTCTCAGTCTGCCTCAGATCCTGGGGCCCACCAGCACCAGTTCCAGTAACTGCCTTCACAACCAGAAGATGTTTAAGGAACACGCTCTGTGACAGCGGTGGGGGGCCTGTGATAAGTGCACCTTGGGAAGGCTGTCTGTAGGAACCGGAAATAATTTATCTCTAACTCATGTTGTGATCCCTGTTACTCTGTCTCTAACCAGGGACTTTTTGTCCCAGATCATCTTTGAATCTTATTTGCCAGATTCTCTTGTCTGCTTACCAGCACACTTAACCTTTGACTATAAATAGCTAGAAGTAAGGGTAAGGAAGGATCCTTGATTTGGCAAAATCATTACGGCAAAACTGCCTGACAGCTCTGTCACCAGAGCGAGTCCCGCAGGGGAAGCCTTACTGAACGTGAACAGAAAGGAGAGTCACTTTCATGACAGACTGCTGTCATAGGGGACAAGATTTTCTGAAGGTTCCAGAAGCACACATGATTTTCAAAACTTCTTGGGTGTAAAGAGAGTTAAAAATGGAAAACCAATAGGGGCATGAAAACATGAAGTGGGGGAAATTCATATTATTTCCAAATATGAATCTAAACTGGATTCTACTCGCCACTGTTCTGAACTGTGCTCAGCAGGAGAGGCTGGAGAGGAGAATCAGAGTCTGTGGGTCTTTCTTGAGTCCGGGGGCTGGGGCTACAAGGTTATTTCCAACCACGACCTGCCCTCTTCTTCCCGCTGGAACAGGTGGGAATCTGAGGCACGACACTGCCCTAGTCAGTTGAAAACAGGTCACCAGCAGAGGGCAGGGGGGCCAAGCCCCCTGTGACGTTGGGCAGCAATGAGAGGTCTGGCAAGCTCTGAATATGCGACTTCAGCTCCTTGCGTACTTGGGTCACACGAGCGAGCTTCTGTTTATATTCCTAAGGAGACAGAGAGAAGTCAGTGCGGTTAAATCTGCACGTGCTGATGGTCAGGCTTAACCAGCTGATAAAGACAAGTTCTACTGCTCTCCCCAGGCGGCACTCTCCCAGTCAGCTGGACTACTAATACACTACCGGGGTCTTCAAACTCTCAAAAGGTGAAACTAAATCCAAAAGGAAATCCGAGTTCACACTGACAAAGGTCAATTAGGTGGTATTTAACTTAGTGACTGGGACATGGACATAAAAAGAAGTGACATTTTGTACTTGCGTTCTCTTAATGAGTTTGTATGTGTTTCAAATGCGTTATAAAATACAGATGCTCAGCTTTTACAATGAGACTCCACCTAGACATGGCTAGAAAAACATCACTATAAAGCTAGACTCTGAGTTAAACTTAGAGATGAATACAGATTTATCAATTCCAAGAAAAAGCACTAGAGAAGTTCAAACTACCCCCTGCCATTACCTGTGTCCAGGACTTGCTCATTCCATACCTCAGTAATTGCAGCAAATTCCTGCAGTTACACGTGAAAGAGGCCTTTTAGAAGTCTCTTCTAAACAGGCCAGACTTATCTGTCAAAAGCCAGCTTTCATCAAGACACTCCCTGTGAGAAAGTGAAGCACAGCAGCACACTAGCTCTCTGACTGCTCAGAGCTCATCGTCTTCTGCCAGCTGTTACTTCTCACACCTTCCCAAGCCCCTCTGCACAAGTCACTGTGCGTTTGTTCATGATTTCTCAAGGCTAGAGAGACCTGTTCTCTTGGTGCAGCCAAGTCCTCCCCGGTCCTCTGCCTGCCCGCTGAATCCCATCTCTAGGAAATCACCTGCGAGACTGGTCTGGAGCCCACTTCCACTGGCCGCCTGGAGCCTCCTGCGCAGGAGTACACCGGGCCCTACCGGCTGCCTGCTCCTAGGCGGGCTCCACAGCGCTGGGCTTCTGTGCTCCTCTAAAACAGGACTTCTCTGACGGCAGCAACTGGGTCTACTTTTTCCTTCCTCAGTTCTCAGTGAAAGGTACTCTTGGTAAATCTGTATGAAATAACAATCCTGGGTGACGTGAGGCCTGTGTTTTATGTCGCCCTAAGGATCTGTATTTTTGCGGCTGTGTCATCCCTTCTCAGAATTTCTGCAGAAATAAGAGGCTGGGCCACCACAGACTTACAATGCTGTCGGCATGTAAGAGAGAGTACTGGGCTGAGCGCAAAGACTGAGGTCTGGTTCTGGCTCTAATGTCCTGTGTGATTGTGGGCGTATTTCCTCTCTTCCTTTGTTTTCACTGTCTTATCTAAAAATGAAAGAATTAGGCTACCCATAAGATTTTTCTTAAAGTTCTGGAGTCTTTTGTGCAGACATCTCAAGTACACTTGGAGAGGAAGAGAGCTTGAGAGTAAAAGCTTAAGCGATCCTGGAAAGGATGGTAAAACAGAAAATAGGTCAAATAAAGAATACATGCTTCAAGTTCTAAAGACAAAGCCTACGGCAAAATGAGAAACGGGAATCAATGCCACGAGCATGGAGGCTCTGCCCCCAGGTTACTGTAGACAGGCCGCGCTCCGCTGAACGAGCCGTGCACACAGGTCATCCTACGTACGCAGGAAAAAGCCAGCTCTCAGCATCCTATTTCTTTCCTTTGTAGCCTGTTATTTTGTGTAAGCCTTAAAACCATGGCTTAGGTAGATTATTAATAATTGCTCACCCATTAGACTAGTTAGGCGGCTGCTTCACGCAGCACCCACCAACCCCAGCAGTGCCCAGTCATCAGCAGGTACCAATGCAGCTGCCCAGTAACTTCACACTAGGCAAAGCACATTATGTGCAAGCATACCACATTATTGCCTTTCGTTCTTGAAACTGAAAACTAATTTCAAATCTGAGAATCTGCGATGCCCAGGTGCCCTTTCCTTCCCTCTATAAACATTTTTCTTCTTTGGGTTTATATACTGCAAGGGAAATGAACGAAAATGACCGATTCCTATTACTGAACATGAATTCATTTAATAACTGACATCTCTGGAATTCTACAGACACAAAGAGTAAAAGAGTTACTCAATACTTTACCCACTGCTCCCTGCCCAAATGTGACAAAGAAAAGCACCCCACTCAGAGTCTCCCATTCTGGTAGCTACACATAGTGTTTCCGTCCAAGGGATTCCTTAAGAAATTTGAAAAGCTGGGATCAGAGTCCTGGGCTTCTGGCTCTTAGGTGATCTCAGACTTTAGCAAGTGTGTGTGGGTTAAAAAGGCAGTTGATCTTATGAGACATCACCATCTATTGAAGTAACTTTCTACCATTCAATTAAAAAACTATGCCATTTGTTCCTGTTTGGGCTGGGGAACTATCTCATGACATTTAGGTTACTATTGTGGGTAGACATTATCAAAGAAAATTTCAAAATTTATCAAAATTTCATTTTAATAAAAAGAGGTATGTCCCACATCAAAGCCCTTCCTTTGGGCCACTTTGAACGCAGCTGCATTCAGCCCATAGCTCCCCATGCCACTGAGTTATGCTTCCCGCAGGGATTTTTTTTAATGCAAGTGCACGAGTCTAGGTACAGGACATCACTAGAGAAAGCGTGATCAAAAAACATACAGTTGCAAGATAAGGTTAACATACCAAAATCAACTGCTTTCCTCTAGGCTGTCAATGAACAAGTGGAATTTGAAATAAAAACACAATATGCCACTTAAAACACTGGCATGCAAAACAACGAAATATTAGGTACAAATCGAACAAAATATGGTGTAAAATCTATAAGGAAAACTACAAAACTGATAATATCTACCCACAATAGTAACTAACTTCAATGTGATGAGACCACTCAAATTGTTTTGGCTCAGTTAAGTGTGCTGCATCCCACAATCCTCTTTAATACAGCAAGCACCACTCAAACAGAGGAATGATGTGGCAAGGTGGTCACATGCTCCTTGTTTAAAATACTTTACACTTGTGTGTAATAGAAGACTGAGCCTTTAATCTAACGTTCATGGCACTCTAACTGGTACTGGAATTCAAGAGATCAGGACCTGCACAATTTATACCAGCAAGACGTTATCACGGCAGTGAGTGCTTCTGCTCATCAGTCTTTTCTAGCTACTGGTTGATTCACCTCAAGCACAATTCATATGGCTCTTCTATACTTTCACCTTCAGAAGCTTGCCTTTGCTGTACCACCAATTGTAAGCAAGAAAAGACAAGGCAAACCCAACAGAACTGTTGCTTTTCCCTTCCTGTTCATTCATAATTTATACTGAGCTACTGGCAGAGCTGAGGGGTTGAGCTGAATCCTTCCTTCAGCTACTCACACCTATTGCAGCAAACCCTACCTCACCCCAGGGGAGCCATGACATAGGTGAGAGTTCTATCAGACTTAATGCTGCTACAAAGCAGGGACCTGTGATAAACTTCCTGGATTTAACTGCCCCTCAAAAACCAATGGTTTAACGCACAGAGGTAAGGCCCAATGTATAGCTCTAAGAGAATTTCCAGTACTTATGCTCCTGGCAAAGCCTGGGAATCTCGCCTCACAGGCTAAATTTGCAGGAGAAAACATGTCCAACATCCCCCTGCTTCTATGGATCCAGTCACCACTGTGTGAACACAGACCATCAATGGAGCACCAAGACAACTGGCGAAGGGCAGCAAGGCTTACACTTTCTTTGCCTTTTTTGGTTAGAGCAGTAAACCAGACCTGATATGCTGCCGATGGGCTCTGGGATAAGAAGGTTAGAAATGACAGGGGCTGACACTGCAATGACCTTTCTACAGGAATTTCATTTTCAAAACAACAAATTTATAAGCATTTCCTCTAGCAACTTATGTAAGAAACACTGATTAAAAAGTAAACATTGTCAACCCTATTTTTTTTCCTTGCTAGAAGTATTTAACAAAAGAAGAATGATGTTAGCAATCCGGCCAAAGGCAGGGACTTGACCTGGCTTGATAAGATTTCTAGTACCAAGATTCATGTTTTCCTTTATCTTGCCCTGCTGTGCTATATAGGACATATGGTATATAAAAATCACCCACTGCTCGGCTACTCGCAATTAAGACTCATAAAGGGTTATTATGCACGAAGCAATTTATGAAGGGCCCTATTTTAAAGGTGTCCCACCACAATGAATTTCAGTCAAAGAACTGCTTCATCAGATGAAAGTTCAGAGTTAGGCAGAAAGGGGGAAGTGACTCTCACGCCCTGATGTTACTTAACCACGACCGCCAGGTGACTTACCACACCACTGAGGCTCATAGGATCCACACTTAGGATCCTACTTAAACCTCAATCAATCAACCAATTTATTTTTGTTCATTTTAAAAGGAAAATATTTAACGGATAAATCCTTGGATTAATAAGAATGTTGCTTATCATTTTTTTTAAAGAATCTATGTGGGAACAAAAACCATCACTGACCTGTACCTCTCCCAGCCAGCTCCACGCTCTCATATGACTGAGTGGCAGCTGCGACATTTCAAAATGATACATTCTGGGGTGTCACAGCAGGGCTGGAGCTGCTGAGTAAGACACTGGGGAAGATAAAAGGAAAAGAGGAAATTGTGGCTCCAATCCAGCGTGCTCAGGGCCTCCAGAGCTCCCGTACTGACACCAGTGATTCAGATATGCAAAAAGTTTTCACAGGAGGGAAAATGACAAAATGTCTACAAACTAGAGGAATGTTCTTGGGTGACCCAACCATCCACTGGAGGAGTCAAATGGGGAAAAGTTTCTTAAACTTGAAACTGGATCACAAAGACTTCTAGTGTGCCCGGAGGACAAATGGTTAATAGAGAACTTCTACTGCCACAACAACTGAAGCCCCAACCTGACTGTGATTTCTGAAGCAGGGAAGAATAAAGCATTCAATAAAATAAAAATGAAAGCTAACATCAATTTTGAACAGGCAGAATTCTCAACCATAATTATAAAGCTAAATAACTAGTTTAACAGATGTCCATAACATGCTTTAAAAAGATACTTTCTAAAAACACACCTGGATC